TAGACAGCTTAATGTAATTTTGGTACAGAGACATTGTTCCCAAGTCATGTGGCACAGGATAGCTTTAACCACGGCGACCAAACTTTGTCAAATTGTTGGTTAAGTCATGTTGTATCTTATTGCACCTTGACTGAAAGCGAAAGTAAAACTAATGTGAAATACTTACATTAACTAGATCGAAAGAGAGTTCTGTTATCCTTGCCAACCTATGCCTTGATTCGTTGTCAGGATACCGGCAATATCTAAATGTGTCTTCCAATATTGTTTCATCTTCATTTGTGACGTCAATGAGACACATGTGATTAATAGCCATGGATCTTGTTGTTAGTATCGAAGGTACCACGTTATTGTATATAAACTGTTCTCTTTCCGTCATCGACTGGTTCCCTTCATCTTCTATTGGATGCGATAATTTTAATGGAGAATCTTCGCCGTCATCCTCGTCGTCGTCATAAAAACAATTATCTACGTATGTTTCAGGGCTTCCTGTGGGTAAAAGCAATAATTATGTTGAACATTATTAATTGTAAATGACAAAACGTATGAACGATATATGGAGTTGACAGCAAGTTGTAAAGAGTATAGTTGTTACACTGAAGATGCAATTTACCTGTAAAATTAAGCTCTTCGATATCCGATCTAAAAATCGATTCCCGGTTGAATGGTATCTGTAGTACATCGGGAACTTCGTCGTTTTCTTCGAGAAACGTGTGCTTATCTTCCGTCAGCATTAAATTGGTTAGCGACCTGAATTGTGGGATATCGATAGTCGAAAACATTACTTCAAGATTAGACCGTTCTTCGCAATGATCTTCAATAGTGACAGTTGGATATTGAAAGTAATGACAAGATTCCATGCTAAAGTATATTACAGCAACCGGTCCTACACTGTTGTGATGTTTTGTAGTATGATTGTGGAATGCAAAATGTTCGAGATTTTATATACAGTAAAACAAAGGAATTGCATAATTTATCACATTTCACGGAGTTATTGTCTGTCATCATTTACCACATTCTGTTGTGCCGTAGAATTATTTTGTCCGTATGGCGAACACAAAAGAGGTGCTGAAGAAGTGATTCAATAAAAGCGCAGCCAATCAGAAGGATTTTCAGCGGGTTTAGTGTGAGGGCGTTTTCCTTTTTCGAGTATGAAAAGAAATGTGCATTTCAGTCACATGATATGAACCAAAGTATTTTATAATGAGTAGTTTATGAAATTTTGTCTAATTGATTGGCATGCTAAAAACAAAAGAGTTTATAATCAAATAATGGATGTTAATACGCCACATTGTGCATGCGCCTGGGCTTTAATGTTGTTCTGACTATGTAACTAACGATGCCAACTTCACTCACTTTCTCCAATATTCGATTACTATTGGATACTATAAAGATCGGAAGGGTTGGTCCTGTCGAAATACCAACTGGGCTGTTCATGAATCACGTTAATTTGTCGAGTTTGAATCAATATATCCTCACTTCGGATTATATTTTATTTTTTGACAAACTATTGTCGTAATTGGTTAAGATGTGATGTTCAGTTCAAATTGACAATAATATTCAGCATTGTTGACTATATTGTCGAACACAATAGTTAAATGTAATATTTACTCACACTCACTGAGTACGATTATCGTTTAACACCTTCTGTGGTTCTAGACCGACACGTTATCGGCTCCAAGAACTTAAAAGAGCCGCCGGTTAGCGATGTTTTGAATTCAATAAAAGCGCCGTAAAAAGGTGCGGCCTACGGGATTGCAATTTTAGGGCGTTTTTCGAGACGTCTCCACCTGATTTGATTTTGTTTGTGATGAAAAATTCATGCTGGGAAATATAATCAGCAGACACTTGCTTTTTGTAGCAATTTGACCCATAAGTACAGGTCCACAGTGCGGATTTTTCCTGTATTGGTTATACATTTGAAGGCACTATTCTACTCTAACCGTATGAATCGGTTTTGCGATGAAACTGGTACTATAGTAATTAACACACATGGAACACGAGTAAATTATTTTCTGACTTTTATTATATAACAAAATAACAAACGATCATGTTGAAATATAAATATCCTCATCACACAATAATAATCCACATTTAGTTACTTCGTTTTAGACATGGTATGGTGTCTCCCGGAATACTTCGATCACATGGATACACTAAACGTCTTCTTCGTCTGTGTAACTGTGCTCGACGACAACTAAACCATTCCTGAAAAAATAAAGAAACAAATGAGCATTACTATCACTTTATACAGCTTAATGTAATTTTGGTACAGAGACATTGTTCCCAAGTCATGTGGCACAGGATAGCTTTAACCACGGCGACCAAACTTTGTCAAATTGTTGGTTAAGTCATGTTGTATCTTATTGCACCTTGACTGAAAGCGAAATATGTGAAATACTTACATTAACTAGATCGAAAGAGAGTTCTGTTATCCTTGCCAACCTACGCCTTGATTCGTTGTCAGGATACCGGCAATATCTAAATGTGTCTTCCAATATTGTTTCATCTTCCTTTGTGACGTCAATGAGACACATGTAATTAATAGCCATGGATCTTGTTGTTAGTATCGAAGGTACCACGTTATTGTATATAAACTGTTCTCTTTCCGTCATCGACTGGTTCCCTTCATCTTCTATTGGATGCGATAATTTTAATGGAGAATCTTCGCCGTCATCCTCGTCGTCGTCATAAACACAATTATCTACGTATGTTTCAGGGCTTCCTGTGGGTAAAAGCAATAATTATGTTGAACACTACTAATTGTAAATGACAAAACGTATGAACGATATATGGAGTTGACAGCAAGTTGTAAAGAGTATAGTTGTTACACTGAAGATGCAATTTACCTGTAAAATTAAGCTCTTCGATATCCGATCTAAAAATCGATTCCCGGTTGAATGGTATCTGTAGTACATCGGGAACTTCGTCGTTTTCTTCGAGAAACGTGTGCTTATCTTCCGTCAGCATTAAATTGGTTAGCGACCTGAATTGTGGGATATCGATAGTCGAAAACATTACTTCAAGATTAGACCGTTCTTCGCAATGATCTTCCATAGTGACAGTTGGATATTGAAAGTAATGACAAGATTCCATGCTAAAGTATATTACAGCAACCGGTCCTACACTGTTGTGATGTTTTGTAGTATGATTGTGGAATGCAAAATGTTCGAAATTTTATATACAGCAAAACAAAGGAATTGCATAATTTATCACATTTCACGGAGTTATTGTCTGTCATCATTTACCACATTCTGTTGTGCCGTAGAATTATTTTGTCGGCATGGCGAACACAAAAGAGGTGCTGAAGAAGTGATTCAATAAAAGCGCAGCCAATCAGAAGGATTTTCAGCGGGTTTAGTGTGAGGGCGTTTTCCTTTTTCGAGTATGAAAAGAAATGTGCATTTCAGTCACATGATATGAACCAAAGTATTTTATAATGAGTAGTTTATGAAATTTTGTCTAATTGATTGGCATGCTAAAAACAAAAGAGTTTATAATCAAATAATGGATGTTAATACGCCACATTGTGCATGCGCCTGGGCTTTAATGTTGTTCTGACTATGTAACTAACGATGCCAACTTCACTCACTTTCTCCAATATTCGATTACTATTGGATACTATAAAGATGGGAAGGGTTGGTCCTGTCGAAATACCAACTGGGCTGTTCATGAATCACGTTAATTTGTCGAGTTTGAATCTATATATCCTCACTTCGGATTATATTTTATTTTTTGACAAACTATTGTCGTAATTGGTTAAGATGTGATGTTCATGTCATGAATTTGTTTTCGCGTATCTGTTAACCGACTTAATTAACTGATTATTAGCGAATTGCTGTGTTATGTCTGTCATCGTTTAGGTCTATTTGAAGTTTTGGACGGAACTTGGCTCAGTGGTTTGGAACTAATTACAAGATACCGTCGCTATTCTGACATCCGTAGTTATTAATGTAGTGAACGATTAATCAAAAGATATGACGTATTCAGTACTTAGTGTGATTGGCTTTATGATTGAAGTTTACGCCTTAGAGTCTTTTTACTGCTTTGTAATTGGTTAGAGTTTTGAAAATGAATAAAGAGAGTTTGAGTTGGTCTTGACGAACACAGCACGATAGACGCAGAAGAGAGAGAGAGTGCAGTCCTGGGCAGTCGAGAGTCCTGGAGAGACTTGGGGCGAGCCTTGACGCAGCCTAAGAGAGTCTTGGGTCAGCCTTGCGAGAGTCTTGGGGACTTTTCCCCAGGGCGCTGTGTCTTATAGAGTGCTCGATAGATCGACTAAGACGAGAGCTGAAACGTATTTCGTTGTGTGTGTCTTATTTGACAGTAAAGTTAAAGTGACTTTCCCGATCCCGTACCTCAAGGGGACGAGATAGAGAGACGAGACGAGTTTCCCCCTGACAAGTGTGGAGAACCCCAGAGAAAAGAAGATTCCCCCCCTGACATTCAGTTCAAATTGACAATAATATTCAGCATTGTTGACTATATTGTCGAACACAATAGTTAAATGTAATATTTACTCACACTCACTGAGTACGATTATCGTTTAACACCTTCTGTGGTTCTAGACCGACACGTTATCGGCTCCAAGAACTTAAAAGAGCCGCCGGTTAGCGATGTTTTGAATTCAATAAAAGCGCCGTAAAAAGGTGCGGCCTACGGGGTTGCAATTTTAGGGCGTTTTTCGAGACGTCTCCACCTGATTTGATTTTGTTTGTGATGAACAATTCATGCTGGGAAATATAATCAGCAGACACTTGTTTTTTGTAGCAATTTGACCCATAAGAACAGGTCCACAGTGCGGATTTTTCCTGTATTGGTTATACATTTGAAGGCACTATTCTACTCTAACCGTATGAATCGGTTTTGCGATGAAACTGGTACTATAGTAATTAACACACATGGAACACAAGTAAATTACTTCCTGACTTTTATTATATAATCAAATAACAAACGATCATGTTGAAATATAAATATCCTCATCACACAATAATAATCCACATTTAGTTACTTCGTTTTAGACATGGTATGGTGTCTCCCGGAATACTTCGATCACATGGATACACTAAACGTCTTCTTGATCTGTGTAACTGTGCTCGACGACAACTAAACCATTCCTGAAAAAAAGAAAGAAAAAAATGAACATTATTATGACTTTATACAGCTTCATGTAATTTTTGTGGAGAGACATTGTTCCCAAGTCATGTGGCACAGGATAGCTTTAACCACGGCGACCAAACTTTGTCAAATTGTTGGTTAAGTCATGTTGTATCTTATTGCACCCTGACTGAAAGCGAAAGTAAAACTAATGTGAAATACTTACATTAACTAGATCGAAAGAGAGTTCTGTTATCCTTGCCAACCTACGCCTTGATTCGTTGTCAGGATACCGGCAATATCTAAATGTGTCTTCCAATATTGTTTCATCTTCCTTTGTGACGTCAATGAGACACATGTGATTAATAGCCATGGATCTTGTTGTTAGTATCGAAGGTACCACGTTATTGTATATAAACTGTTCTCTTTCCGTCATCGACTGGTTCCCTTCATCTTCTATTGGATGCGATAATTTTAATGGAGAATCTTCGCCGTCATCCTCGTCGTCGTCATAAAAACAATTATCTACGTATGTTTCAGGGCTTCCTGTGGGTAAAAGCAATAATTATGTTGAACACTACTAATTGTAAATGACAAAACGTATGAACGATATATGGAGTTGAAAGCAAGTTGTAAAGAGTATAGTTGTTACACTGAAGATGCAATTTACCTGTAAAATTAAGCTCTTCGATATCCGATCTAAAAATCGATTCCCGGTTGAATGGTATCTGTAGTACATCGGGAACTTCGTCGTTTTCTTCGAGAAACGTGTGCTTATCTTCCGTCAGCATTAAATTGGTTAGCGACCTGAATTGTGGGATATCGATAGTCGAAAACATTACTTCAAGATTAGACCGTTCTTCGCAATGATCTTCCATAGTGACAGTTGGATATTGAAAGTAATGACAAGATTCCATGCTAAAGTACATTACAGCAACCGGTCCTACACTGTTGTGATGTTTTGTAGTATGATTGTGGAATGCAAAATGTTCGAGATTTTATATACAGCAAAACAAAGGAATTGCCTAATTTATCACATTTCACGGAGTTATTGTCTGTCATCATTTACCACATTCTGTTGTGATGTAGAATTATTTTGTCGGCATGGCGAACACAAAAGAGGTGCTGAAGAAGTGATTCAATAAAAGCGCAGCCAATCAGAAGGATTTTCAGCGGGTTTAGTGTGAGGGCGTTTTCCTTTTTCGAGTATGAAAAGAAATGTGCATTTCAGTCACATGATATGAACCAAAGTATTTTATAATGAGTAGTTTATGAAATTTTGTCTAATTGATTGGCATGCTAAAAACAAAAGAGTTTATAATCAAATAATGGATGTTAATACGCCACATTGTGCATGCGCCTGGGCTTTAATGTTGTTCTGACTATGTAACTAACGATGCCAACTTCACTCACTTTCTCCAATATTCGATTACTATTGGATACTATAAAGATCGGAAGGGTTGGTCCTGTCGAAATACCAACTGGGCTGTTCATGAATCACG